CAAGAACTTCCCTGAAACATCCATGTTTGTTTTGAATCTTTGACCTGTATAATGACAGTGTTCGTCAGCAGAGACGCCGGCCTCCATTTTTCTCCGTCTCCTCACACTCGTGCGGAGCCAACTGGAGGTAGTCTCAAAGTCGGAGGTTTATATTTTGAAATGGGTTGCGTTATTCTGAGCCACAGGAATCAGCAGAGCTGGTGCTTTCTTAAATTGTCCAGCCGTAACGCGTCGTCTCCACCACTGGTGATGGTGTGTTTGTTTTGATCCACTGGACAATCGCTCGACTCCAACTCTGATTGGGTTACATGTTTATGAGCTGAAAAACGAAGTACGAAGGTAGAGAATTTAATCCAACCAACCATCCCTCCGTCTACATATATAACCATCCAGACAGACACATCCTGTCCATATAGATATGGTTCAGCTCCCACCTCCTCCGTGGAGAATTCCTGGCTCTGTAGATTCCTCACGAACTGATCCGTTCTTCTGTTTTTTCCTGTCCTGACCTCTAATTTGGACTGGCCCTGAAGGATTTGTTTCTTCTTTGGACTAACTTCCTGGTCATGACTTTGCCTTGAACTTCAAACGAACTAAACTGCTATTTCTCAACTGAGTCCTACTCTGTCATGCCTCTGGATTCTCCGCCTTCATCACAGGTGATTACAGTGAATGTCCTGGGAGACGAAGGACGGAAAGGAGAAGGAAAAGATCACGTCAGGAAAAATGCCACCACCCCCAGGAGTTCTCATATTAATTTACCTGTCAAATGTCTGCCCACGTTACTCTCTCAACATTTCCCCCTACGATCGCACAGATCCGCACGCTTACGATAAAGACATAAAGTATGAAAATATCAGATTAGACACAAACCAGCGGCTGCTGCTGTGAACAGTGAAGACGCAGACGCTCAGACGTATAGAAAAGAAAAGAGGAAAAAGTGAAGCGGAAGTAAACGGACCGCCAGGGCAGCTCTACGCTGTTGCCAAGCAACCAGGTGATCCCTCTAAAAAGCTTCTCCATGGGAGATTCCCTGGTTTGCGTGAGGGCATTTACTCGCCTGTGTGTTGGAGTGCTCCAATGTGTAATTGTGTTTGTGTGTGATCGTGAGTGTGGGTTTGTCCAATAAGTTAGTGCTGACACAACGAGTGTTCAATGTTCGTTGGAACGGCACAGCGGGGGCTGCAGAAGAGCTTGGTTTGTTGAATCTGTAGCCCCCCCCCCCTTTACTTCAGATTGTTCATTTTATTTATTCAACAATTACGTATTTATTTTTCATAGAGAACATACGGTGCTGTTGGAGACAAAGTTGCCGAGCAAACAAAGACGGGCATGCACGGGCAGAGAAAAACAATCAGCGCTCCACAGGGGCTAAGATCTAAACTTTCCCTTGAACGTCTCATCACAGATGTTTTAATATCTACGTGACGTGTCAGTGTGAATTACCTAATATCCTGCAGAGTTAATCGCTTTTTATGGCACAGAAAACAAAACAAAGAAAAGTGAGTTCAACAGCAAGAGGAGCCCAAAGGAGGCTGAAGTCTGAAGTGAATCAGACTCAAAGGTTAGACAGTGACAAATGTAACGATCTGAAGGATTAGCTAAGCCTCAGATTGTTGTTATATAAATGGTTTAGAGCAACACGCTAATTCAAATAGCAGCAAAATAAGTTGAATCAAAAAAGGTTTACCTCAACAAAGCACAACTAAAAGTCATTATAAATTGGCTGAAGGGCTAGCGTTAAGCTAACTGATCAATGCAATTTAAGGTTAGCTCAAATATAAGCTAGTGCTAAGTCAAATGTTGTCATGGTTATTGCAAATGTTTTAGGTTTGTCAAGAAATGGACGACGAAGAACGGTGCTTACACACCAAACACTTACAATTAGCCAAATAATTCGCTTTTGCTAACCACAAAACCTCAAAAATTGCAAGAATTTCTAAAACCAATACCTGTACGAAGAAGATATTTCATACACAAAAAAATGGATAAAATGACTGAGTAAATGCCCAATATAAAACTTGGACTAAAAATGTGTTATCCTAGAAATGTTAGGTGAACAGGCTACACAGTCAAAAAATACAGCAAAACATATACAAATGTCAGAAAAAGATAAATCAAACATCACGTAGTTTCAATTAAAAATGCTAGGTATTAAATTAAGTTAAAATCCTGCAAAACACAATACTCGCCCCCCACACACACACACACACACACACACACACACACACACACACAGTGTCACGCACAGTTACATGAGGAACCATAAGCAGTGGAAATTGCTCAGTTTAAAATGCCTTGACAAATCTCTAGGGTGTTGCTGACGTTTCTGCTTGGGATTATTCATAGCTGCTCACACACACTCCAGTGTTAATAACTACACACACACACACACACACCCATAAGTGCACACATACACACCAACACATGTGGCAGCGGATGGAGGCGGAAGCAGAGAGTGAGCGATAGGTTGGGAAATGTGAGGTGAGACGGAGGCAGACGGAGGCAGACGGAGGCTGGAGAAGGTGAGCTTGACTTTCCACTGTTTGTGACTCCTGCAGTACAAGTAAAGGCTGCTAACAATGCTACTGACAGGCAGCCGTAACCCCGGGGAGTCATTAGAGCCTGTCACTATGGAACCCTTCAATCAGATGAAAACCGTTGGCCATCTTTTCCTACGACTAATGAATCCACGAAATTACCTGAGGCCTTTCAAACTCTGCCACAAACAAGCCCACATCCAACTCTGACCTTCGTTCCATTTCCCACGTGATGAACTGTAAAGTAAACATCTAGCCAACAAAAACCTTGCAGGTCCAACAGCTCGGAGTAGGAGCAGAGCTGCAACAACAAACAGAAAACGCACCTGAAGGCACCATCTTCTAATGGCAGCGCCTCAGGGCAGCGAAAGGATATGGATGGCAGACGGCTCGGAGGCACCAGGACCGAGGAGGGCTGGTCTGAGTCAAGGCCAGGAGAACCACTGGTGCCAGAGTGGGGTACGGCAGGCTGTCCATCTCCTCTTCCTCCGCCTCCTCCTCGTCCCTCTGCTCTCCCTCCACCGACACGTGCACCTTCTCTCCTCCTTCCTTCGTGTCGCCGTCCTCCTGCGTTGGATCTCCATGCTGCTCCTGCAGGTCTAACTCCTGTTGGCCCGTCATGGCCACGCTGGGAACAGCCTGGACCTGGAGAGAGCGCTCAGGGGCGTCAGAAAAAAACGCTGTGTGTATCTGTGTGTTCTTGTGTAATCAGAACAAGTGGATGGTGCATTCTGGCTGAGCTTTATTTACTGATCGGGTTTTTGAAAATCATAAACTTTTCATCCCCATTGTTTTAGATACGACTCGTTCCGACTCAATTCTTTTTAAAGCTCCAACAAAACAGCTATTCTGTTTGAACAAAGGGAATAAAATCCCAAATTAGACCACTGATCCCACTGTGGGACAAATAAAGAAAATTGATTTTATTGAACTCGCTGTGCCCCACTGCAATTGCCTTGTACACCCTAGGGACCCCACCCCCTACTTTGGGAACAACTGGCTTAGCATATTATTAATATTATAAAAGACTAAAAAGCAACGAGACTTCTTCTCCGTCCCTAAATTAAAATCCCATTTAGAGAAAAATTGAAATTGAAATATTAAACGATAGCCTGGTGGAGGTCAAAGGGTCAGTAACAATTTCCTCCTTTGTATCATTTATTTTCTTCAAGCCGAACCAGAAATTGAACGTGGTTCAAATCTTTGTCTGTGTAAAGTGAGGTTAGCTCTGCCTCGATTGCCACGACAGAAAACATTTCCCCGACAACCTCCTGTTCTCAGACAGGAGTTTCAGAACTTCCTCGGCACCACATGATGATGTCCTTTCGGTAAATGTCATTTATACAGAGACAGATCGAGATCGAGAACGATAATGAACGTTGGTGGATGAATGGGAGCGGGAACGCAGTTTGACATCACGCGTGACTGTCCAGGTGTATCGTACAGTCCAGACCTGACATCAGTAAATGTCATCAGTGAACCTCTCAGATACTGTGACACCGCTGAACGTCATCAAAGCTGCCACGTGTGGACAGGATCCTAATGGACAGCCCACATGGACCACATGGAGCTACTGCCTTTATAAATCAATGGAGACGGAGTATGGAATACTACACTAGTACTGTATATTCCATTTAATCTAGTACATCAGAACAACTTAACAATTATTTACACAACAACAGACAACAACATACTGTATATTATATAGCATTGTTGCCCAAAGACTGGGTCGCGACCCTCAGGTGGATCGCAAGAGGTTTTTTTTTTCAATCGTGTTTCCCAGGCGTTTATGAATAATGTCTATTGACTTGGGTTTTTAAGGTGAAAAAAAGGTTTAGGAAACACTGATCTATATGGCACTAATCTATGGATGTTCACTGGACTGACATACAGATATGTCATGGATCCTGTCCTTCAGCGAGGTAAAGTCCTAACATGGTAAAAATCTTGTTGTACCAGGTGAAAGTTCTTGCTACAATAAGAAGAAGGAGTTTCTTGAAGAAGTACTTTTTTTTTTTTTTTGGTCTTTACCCAGTGCCCACTGGCGTTCAGATCACAAGTTAGAACTCAAACACTACACTTGACTCCTGTCTGAGAAAAGAACTGAACATAAAGTTCAGCTTCAATTCAAAGCCTTATTCTGTTTTATTTTGTTTTGTTTACTTTTTGCACATTTGTGTGTGGTTTTCTTCATGCGGCGTAGGTTCAAAACTGCTGTGTTCAAGTCCTTAAGCTGTCAGTGGCGCCCCCATGGGGTAGCCTGGGGTGGCTACAGATACCCTCTGAAAATTGCTGGCTGCACCACTGGCTATACCCCAGAGCATCTAACCCCCCTAGCCCCTCCGCTGACCCCTGACCTCAGACTGCAGCTGCTGATTTCATAAGGGAACGGCATTTTTCAACAACAAATGTATTTTATTTTGTCGGCATTTTTCAGATATGACTGAAGTAAACGCAGCACATGACCACAGGCTTTAGTTTCACCACCCTGAGATTTGAACTCTGGGCTCAACTGAACTCTGTACAATGAGTGTAAATAAAAAAATACTTTTCTCCTCTGAAATACACACGGCCTCTGTGGCTCAGCCGCCGTGTGTCTCTGTACTGAAGCTCTCAAACTGGAACCACAGCGTCTGACAGGCCGCGCTGTGCAGAAGCCCCCACTTCAACCTCCTGCACGGCGGCATTAAAAATCTTTCTGTTTTGCTGTGAAACCGTGAATGACCTTTGGAGGGGAACTCGCAGTCAGACAGTTGTCCCGTGGAGGAAGAACAAATCCAAACAGAGAGAATTAGACACGAGGGGCAAAGGTGCAAACACACAAAGTCTGCAGCAGACCACAGGCAGCACTTAGAGGCCTCCACTGTAAATCTACAGCTGTGCAACTCAGTGATGACAAGAGGCCATTACTGCACACGTCTGTAATCCTGACTGGCTTTGTACAAGCTGAACACGCATGGAGAACGTAGCTTAGAAGGATGAGAGAACATAGTGACACACAGTCGTTTGTCTGATTTCATTTAACTTGCGGTGCCCCACTGCAATTGCCTTGTGCACCCTAGGGACCCCGCCCCCTACTTTGGTAACTACTGGGATGGCATATTATCAAAATTATTAAAAGCAATGAGACTTCTTCGTCCCTAAATTAAAATCCTATTTAGAGGAAAACAGTCGGTTCCATTGTGTAACAGTTAGTACGCATACCTCGGAAGCAGAGAATCCTGGGTTCGATTCCCGGAGGAGCTACATGCTAGGCGCTTGCTAGTGGCAGCCTGTTAACAGTATATCTGCTGCTAACACAACAACTTCCCAAATATGGGATCACAAATGTATTGTTATTTTTTAAATTATTTTATTTAAAATAGAAATTGAAATATTGAAGGATGTGTTTACTGGGAGCCTGGTTGAAGTCAGTCTTTAATCCTGACTGGCTTAGTACAATCTGAATACATGGAGAAAGTAGCTTAGAAGGATGAGAGAACATAGTGCCACACAGTCATTTGTCTGATTTAAATTTTTTTTTTGATTCACAATGAAATCCCCACTCTGTGATTAGTGTTATTTAAGGCTCACTGAGTTGTAATTTTTCCTTCAGCTATAATTTAACACAGCGACATCTTGGAGCCACAGCAGCCTATGGTTGATCTCCATATGAACACTATACTGACTGGGATCTGTTGCAGTGCTGAAATCCAACGTGGGCTAAGTCAAAGTGAATGTTAATCGCACTTTTAACGAACAGCGTGAGAACAACAGCAGATTAACTTCTTGGCTTTGTTTTTTTTATTTATATATTTGTGAAGATTTCATCATGTTTTCTGCCTTACTGAACAGCGTGCAGCCGAGGCTTGGCAGGGGAAGGAAGGAGCGTGTGACTCGGTCCAGGTTGTCACAAGTACACAGAAAACGCTCCCCACTGCTGCACCGTGTGCTCCTTCCATCGCTTATTGATCCCAGGAGATTCAGGGTGGAAAACGATTCTAAAGCTACCAGGCAGGCACATCCACTCTGACTGTTCTGTACAGTTTCCAGAGAAGAGAGTGAGTGTCTCTGTGTGCACTCCATGAAAATAATGAGAAGGATTCTGCCAGGACCCCTCCTCCCTGTCTATTTCCATAATGGGCATGAATCCTCCACTGTGTAAGAACTGAAGAGCTGCACAATTTTGGGTTGTTTTTTTTTTTTTGTGATCTACAGTAAGAGTATTTGTTGGGTGGACACCAGATTTGGGGCAAAAAAAGAGGAGCTTTTTTTTTGCCTACTTGAAAGCAGACAGAAAACATCTTTTTAAAAAACTCATCCTAAGCCTCTCCTGTCCATGTGAAAATCAAATCATCCATTTAATTCTGTTCCAGACACCAGACAAAAAAATATATTCATACTTCATAAAGGCATGAGAAGCCTCTGAAACCCATTAGCTCAATTTATTCATACAGGCCGTACATCACAAATGCACGAATCCTTCTCTGAGAATTTATAACGGCCCGGCTCGAGCTCAATAAAACCAGAACAAAGAAGCGGTGGAAGACCAGACATTTTCTCTTTACTCTTTCTACAGTGATGTGGGCCCCATCACTCTGAAGGCCAGTCAGGATCATATGTCTGACGACATCTGAGAGGCTGTAGAGCAACACCCAGAACAACTTCATGAAAATGCAACCCAAGTAATAAAGCCAATAACGTCGAACTGGACCACAAGAAAAACAGCAGATATTCAAACCAAATACAATAATAATAAACCAAACCAAAATATTCATTGACAAAAAAAAAATCTAGCCCTGACAACGAGGTAACTGGGTTTTAATCTCGCATTAAACCCACTTTTAATTGCCAAAAAAATCATTTTCATTTTGTGGATGGAACAGCGCCACAGATGAAGAGCATCATCAGCATCATCACCATCATCATCATCATCATCATCATCATCATCATCCTCTAAGCCATGGACATTCACCCAGAGAAGTGTTCGGGGCAAAAGGAGCAAAAAGAAAAAGTGCATTAATGCCCGAACAAAATGAAAAGTTGAAACGCAGTCACTACCTGGGAGCAGAGTCCATCCACCAGCGCTTCTCACTCCAGGTCCGCCGTGCGCCACGAGCTCCCGGAGCCCGGGTGCTCCATCTGACAGCAGCCCGCCGCTCCTCTGCCGATATCCAAACTCAGTCCGTTAAGTCAGGGGGATGAGCGAGAGGAGAACAGGCGGGAATGACACTGAAAAGTTTCAAATACACCGTGAAAGTAAAGTTACACAGAGCCAAGCGATCCCTCCGTGCGCCAGCGTCCCCTCCGCGACTGGATGCGCTCTGCGGTGTCAGGTAGTGGAGTTCAGGCGGACCGGGGAGAGGGAGAGCTGCGTCAAGTCAGACACGCAGAGGCTGTCCGGACATAGACGGATGTCACCTTCAAAATAAAACGTCCTCTGCTTCCTACAACAAACAAATGGTGGAATATTCGGATTCAGTCGTTTATATGTTATTGTAGGTGAGTAGAACGAAATAAATATTTAAAAAATGTAAAGGGATTCAGTCGTTTATATGTTATTGTAGGGGAGTACAACGAAATAAATATTTAAAAAGATAGAAAGATAAAAATAGTGAATAAAGAAAAACAAACAAAAAAATACCACAAACTTCCATAAACCAAAT